ACAAATTGATTGCCACATGCTGTCTCCATAACAACCTGGCTGGGAAAAGACAGGACAGCTTATAAATGACACACTTGTTCTCCAATCAGGGCTTAAAAATTGACCCACTTCCATTATCTCCTCTGCTCTTTTTGGGCACTGTGAATATTTCTGTGGTAGCCGACACAACTCTGATTATGTAACTTATAAGTTTGAACGGCTCATTGAGGCCTTCTGCAGTGGACTAATAGGAGAGCAGCTTTTGTTTTGTGGCGGCGATGTTGTTCGATTGGTGGTGAACCAGGGCAATGATGGACAAGACTTTATCGTCGGGATCTGCAGTGCTTTCGGGACCAAGTCGCCTGGAAACAAAGCCACATGACCTACACTTAGTCACTTTCTCTTAAATTGACTGTGGTTGTCTGACACCGGTCGGGTTTTTCTTGTCAGTGAGAGACAGAGGAGCTCATGTGGATGCATGACGTCGGGCTCTCAGAAGCAGGGCGCTGTGCAACGTTGGGCTGTGCTGTTTCTTGGGTCAAAGAACTGATTAACAATTTTACCGATGTAAATAAATATAATTCTTTTTCAATTTTCTCAAACTGTGTAAGTTGAATTAAAATTGGGAAGTTTTACCTTTCATTTAAACATGTTGTTAAAATGTGTTTCAACCATTTTAGAAGGTGATTATTTATTTTCCATTTCATTTCAGACTTACACATGTAAATACAGATTTCTAAATACTGAATAAATATGTATAAATGCAGTTTATTTGTGTTGTTTTCAGCAGTGTGTGCTCACACGATCACAGTATTATTACTTTTTTCTGATGCAAGCCTGAAAGCTGTTGCTCCCCTGCTCCTCTACACACGCATCACCAGCATGGATAAGTTGGTGTCAGTTAAAAACGCTCATGCTGCAGTGTGGTGGAAACTCTACACGAGGCAGCCCTTGAGCCTCTGCCGCCATCGCGCACATAACTTTCCCCACGACTAAATATTCAGCTGTCCTTAACGCTCAAGTGCAGAAAGGTGAAACTCTTGACATGAGGACTCATGAGACTAAAGCTGGAAACCTACTAAATAACAAGGGGATATCAAATACGTTCTGCTGGAAAGATACATTCGGTTGATATTGTAATAACTTATCAGTTTAAATTGTCTCTCTCTATATCATTTGTAAAAACTTCTGAAATACACATATTCACACAGTGTATGGACACTGGCACATTGACACAAGCATATATACAGTATATTTACCATGTGTTTTCAGTTGTTGTTAAATGTGCCATTTTTAATCTTCACAAACTGCATTAATCCAATAATCTGTTTTATAAATGATTGCCACCACTCAGGCTCCAGAGTCACTATACTGTAAGCTCAGGATTCCCTGACTCCTTCTATATTTATACCTAGCATACAGTATATTCTAAATATAGAAATCGAATCCATGTCTATGTATTTTTTTCCAACAAATTAAAAACTTACCTTTTCTAACGTTGACACTACACATTCTGTGATATCTCACCATTTTCACTGAAGACCACCTGAAAGTATTAGTCTGTGTTAAATTACATTTTGCTTGGTGTGGAGGTAGAATTTCAGGAAGTGGAGTCACTGGAATATTCTCAAGGCCTGAAACTATGCAGCAGGCTGCGTGTGTGATGAGGGGTGGGTAATGGTGGACCAATGGCTGCCTGATATCATGATCAAAATATATCTGTGACGCTAAGAGAAGTTATTAGATGTAGAATTACCCTCAACTAGCAGATTTACTGGGTTTACTTGGGCGACAGCTTTGTACAACTCTGTCAAATCTAGAACATTAACTAATGTTACAGACCTGCTCTGTGTTTTAGTCTGTAAACCTGCTGCCTGGCACAGGCCTCTGGAAGAAGACACTTGACACACTGTTCCTTCGTGTCAGTACAGGTCAAGTCTGTTCTGTTTAAATAACTATAAATGTCGTAACATGAAGGACACGTTGACACAGGAAACTCTGTAAAACTTTAAACACTTTATTAAACTTCAATCACCTATCTTCCTGAGAAGCCTGGAATGGTATTAAAATAAATTAACACACAACCAACTATGAAAGGCTTTACTGTGTACACAGTTTTTCTTTTCTTTTCAATGCACCTACATTACATCTCCAGATTTGCTTTCATATGAAGAACACAGCAACACCACTGAGGTTGAGTAACTGTTCCTAGTTCATCCTGTTGTTTAGTGACTGTTGTATCATCTCAGTCCTCAGAGTAAATAGTGCCAACAGCCTAAAGTGGTAAGGAAGCCTTCGTTGTCTCTTCATGTGTGTAACATCACGCGGAAATATACAAAAAAGTGAAAGTAATATTCTCGAGTGCTTGTGTCCCATATGGTTTCATCATCTGGACTCAGCATTGTTGTGAGGGCCCAGAATAGAGTTTTTATCAGCACCAAGAGGCTTTTGAAATAGCTGGAAGAGAAACTGTTGCTCAAAAGATGAAAGTCGAGCATTAAGCGATACTCGATGATTAATCGCAGTCCGACTCTACAAACANAGTCCTGGCAGTTCCTCCTGTTCTTGTTGGATGAACTCTCTGTGACATTCTGCTGAGTATGTCGCTACTCAAGTAACACACACACACACACACACAGATACACACATACACACACATACACAGAGACACACACACACACACACACACACACACACACACACACACACACACACACCTGGCAGAAAAACAGGTAAAAGCAGGAAGTAGAGGGCATGAGTCAGTTTTTTCATATAATTAGATATCTGTGTCTCGATCTCAACGTGAAAAGGAGCAAAGCACTGCAGGCCATTGAAATTGACAGATGTAGTCACACCAGTTTGTCTTTCTAATTAACAAACATGAATTGCACAATTGTTAAAGTGCCTCAGTTAAAGTAACAAAGGAAGGCTGTATGTGTGGGGGGAGTGTGGAAGTGCACACACATTCCTACATAATTCCGACAGCCTGTCGTTAAAAAAAAAAAGAAAAAAGCTTGGTATCAAAGAAAGGCACGTTAAGAAACAGGTTTTGGCTGCGTGGGTCTGTTTGGACTACACTTTACTACATCACTGTACATCTACTGCAAGCCTCTGTCTACACACACAGCATGTTAAATAGTAAGTTACATCAGCCACAAACAATGTACATCTACAAAAAAATAAAACTGAAACGTATTTACAGACTAGAGTTCTGACACTTGGAATAAACTGATCAAATTCAAATGGTGGCCTGATTTGCTCTGGATTTATGGATTTATTGGTATCTCTATCCAACCCTGATATCTGCTGAGGTTAATAAGGTGAGACGAACAAAGGGGGGGGGTTCCTGGGTTTTTGTTGTGGGTGGTGTGCTTGTAAGGCACACAGGACAGGGGGGACACGATGGATGACTGAGAATTATATATGTTTAGCGTGAAAACATGATCTGGGTCCTCTTGACATACTGTATAGTCAACAGAGACGCTTATGTAATAGTGCATAACGGGTTGGAACTAGGGAATGGGTATCATGGTCAAACAGACGAGGAGGTTTTCCTTTGGGACGAAGAAAGAATTTGGTTTAGCTCCTTACATTAAAATCATGAATACGTCACGTTTCAGATGCTGTATGCAGCTTTTTCCACTAATATCTGCTTAATGTAGGATTTCTGAAACATACTTGAGTTGCGTGATCATGAACATCTCATAAAAATATTGTTTTCAGCTTTTAATGTGAACTCTGCATGATTTGTAGAACATGGGCTAACACAGGCAAAACCCAGGGGTGTGGTAATTTAAAGAAATAACTGAACTTCTTGGAAAATAGCCGGTGCTTTCTTGCCAAGAGTCAGAAGACGAGATTGACATCTGGGGGCTAGAAATAAGTCAGTTGGTTAGCTTTGAGTGTAAAGCAGACACAGGGGGAAGCAGCTACTTTGGATCTGTCTCAAGGAAAAAAAAGAAACAGACCATTGTCTCCAGTCTCTGTGCTTAGCCAAGCCCACCAGACTGTAGCTTCATGTTTATGATACAGACATGAAAGTGCTATCGATCTTCTAATCTCTACACTTCTGAGCCAGAATGTGTTGTATCCCCCAAGATAGTAAAAATGTCCTTTAAGATAACTGTGGATTTTCCTTGTAAAGCCAAGCGACCTGTTTTGACTGCACAGTTCAAAGAGAGAGAGAAAGGGTGTGTGTGTGTGTGTGTGTGTGATCACTGGTGGTACATGATGGATGCATTCTCAAAACATTAGCTGGCCATTCCCCCTCCTGACACTCCACTCTGATTCCACCAATCAGGACCCCACGTGCCAGAAAAGCTTTTTTAAGGCTGTGGTCTCACGTAGCACAACATTGCTGTTTATGTGTATGTGTGTGTGTGTGTGTTTGTGTGTGTGTATGTGTGTGTGCGTCTGTGTCTTGATTTGTGGGCACACAGAGAAGCAAACTCAGCGGCTTTTACCTTAGATTGCTCTCTCAGGTTTCCCACAGCCACAGGGTCAGCGTCAAGGCTGTGTGAAAAAGCATTGACACTTTGGCGACAGTATGTGGGTTAAAATTTGTAGTGGCAGCCAAATGGTTTCAGGATAAACAATCGGACAGATTGTCAGGGCAGCATCAGAAAATATGCATTTCCCACAGGAGGTGTCAAAGGTTAAGTCATATCGGAGTGTTTATGAAATGTAGAGACAGCTACTTGGCTTGTGACAGCAAATAAATAAAGAACATTTCAGAGAGAATAGAGATCCGGCCACCGTAGTGGAATGGAATTTTTAGAACATGATCAATTTCCTGGGTCCCCGCACGTGATGGACAGGGCATGACATTTGATCTGAAGGCTGTACAGTCTCTCGGGGGTCGGCAAAGTAAGGGTGAGGGGTAGAAGTCGAGGATCCAGCTTATATAACCTCCCTGGTGTTGCGAATGGCACAACAGAGAACCATACTGAAGATCATCCCGATGATCTGTTGAGAGGGAAAGATATTTGTTTTGGTAAAATCATCCTCAACCACAATCTGTGTGTGTTTCTGTGTGTTTTCAGCTCGACTCACCATGACTCCAGCGATGCCGATGCCCACATACCCGATGATGTAGAGTTTACTGTTGAAGAACTCCTTGATGCCCGTCTCACAGTCCTGCACAGCCAAGATAAGAGGACTAGTGTTAACTTCCAGTGAACCAGGATATTTTTGCACGCCCACCATGACGCAATCATTTTAACAACAAAGGGTTTGATTTCCATCCTGAGTCTGGAGCTGGTGACAGATCTTACCTTGGTATCGGGTTGGGGATCGGGGCAGGGGTTTGCAGATGTTCCACAACAGTTCAGCTGAAAGTGGAGAAAAAAACCAGGAAGATTAAACATATTATAACGTCATTTTACTGCCAAAGCTTACCCTTAAATTTTTGGTTTTTTACTTACTATTTTCTGGTATGAGACGATCAAAGTGCTGTTATTGTTCTCTTTGTAGGTTGTTGAGTAGAAGGTCTGAACGTCTTCGATTATCTGTGCAGAGAGGAAACATGAGTGGTGTGGTGCGATCAGGGTTTATTGATGATGCCAAAAAACGTATTAAAACAGTTACTTTTTCATGTTTGAATAAAAAAAAAATTACCTTGTCTTTGTTTAAGAATCCAAACACTCCGGCTGCCACCTCAGCTCCGAAGATGATCAACAAGCAGGCAAAGAACTGAAAAAAAAAAAAAAAACTCCACTGTAAGTATACTCCGACAAAGTATATAGGCTCACAAAATCAAAGAAAATGAGAATAAAGACATAATAACAAAATGCTAAAACTTTTGGCTCATCAACACCACATTAATATAAAAGTATTAGAACTTTGGCAGGGAGGAAATTGCCCTTTTTTTTGGAGGAGGAAATGTTTGATATAGTAGTCGACTGTGGGTCTGTAGTTTCTTGAGAAACAATGAAATTTGAGATTTTGGATCCAGTTCTAGTTTTTCTCATTAAACTACAACTTTATTCTTCTAATATTATCACTGCCTCCTCAACAACTTTATTCTTGTAATATTACAATTTTATCTTTGAAGTCTCACATTTTCTTTCGATCAATATGGCTCTAACACTGTGTTGTAGTATGTGGTACTTGCAAGCAGGACACATGTCTTTTATGTGCATAAATATACTTACTGAGCCCAGCAGGCACTGAGATTCCCGCACAGCTCCACAGCAGCCGAAGAAACCCACCAACATCACCAGGCTGCCGGCACCAATCAGTATATAGACACCTGCAGGAACAGGAAAAATAAAGTTTATTTACATGCAGTAATGGTGACTGTAGAGATACAAGTAATTTGTTTTGATAGATTCCATTAAAACATAATTAAGGTATTGAACTTTTTGTGGGCAGATCAAACAAACATCTCTCCTCTGGTACGCTGAGTAATTTGTATTTACTAAGCCTCCAGCAGGGGGCAGCACACAGCCAGTAATGTAAAATTTTAAACGGTCACTATCTACAGTGTGTTTCTAGGCAGAGACAGTGGCAGAGACATTTCAGACTGTACTATTTCTGTGGTCAGTTGAACAAATGGCAGAAAACAGATTGGTGCTTGGTCGTATCCAATTTCTGTGCTGCCTGTCCTCCTCGTAAAAGATGCCTTTAAAAAAAAGCTTTGTTAACATGAGCCTGCTGGATGAGGAGCTCCATGAGGGATACTTCATGTCTCATAGATGCCCTTATCTGCAGCAAAGCCTCTCAGGGGAAGGTCCGCAGGGAGGAACTCGACAACAGATTGGTTCCACAAGTGTGCACTCGTACAGTTGGGGTCTGCTGCTAGGCGACAGCCCCGCAAATGACAGGGTGCGACAGGACATGTCAGCCCCCAGGCGACATGGGCTCAGGTGGGAATGAGCAAGAAAGATGGTTCCTCGGATCTCAAAGTGTCAACTGAAAGACTTGATGTGATACAATGATTGAGTCATTTTCTTTTGTTTGTTAGTTAAGAGAGAGGTTTAAAGACTTTGTTGGTTATGGGTGACGCTGCTTCACAAACAAATGATCAGATTGTGTTTCTACTTTCAAAGAAGACTGCCCCGCTCGGCTCTGTAGTTGGCTCCCAGTCTGTTGTTCTTATTTTCTAATAATACATCATTTAAAATTGCAGTGAAGTTAGGTCTGGGCTGGGCGCCATGGGAACGAGGCATGGCCACTTGTTGAGTGTGCTCTCAACTGTCAAAGCCATGTGTAGCACTATACTCTCTGAGGACCTGACTGAAGCCACTCATCCTCCTCAGTCATACCACATGGACATCTTAGGGTTAAACACACACATACACACACGGGTTTGTACAGCTACCCTTATTAGGACTTTCTACTGACTTCCATTTATTGTTGACAGCCTAAACAAAACCTCATCCCTATCCTTAACCATGACTTATTCATATACCCTAACCTTAACTTAACCACAATCCATCATCATACCCTTAACCTTAACCAGGACCTCAGAAATGAAGTTTTACCTCATTAGGACAGTACTTTAGTCCCCATGATGTTTACTGGTCCTGACAAGGTCAATGTTTATACTGGAAAAAGTTCTTTAATGAGGCAATAAAAAGGAGTACACACACACACATACACGACTCCATGACTTCAGAGTATATAACATTGAGTTGGATTGATTTCCTAGAGACTTTCCTTGTCTAACCAAACTTAAACATCTTCACCTTAAAATGTAATGATCTACAATATAAGGACATGCTGTTCCCCACAATTTGACTATTTATGTCCCCACAACATGAGGAATACCTGGACCACACACACACAAAAGTAATCTATCCATCCACATTGGGCAACAGAACAACTCTCTCCTCTCCATGCCTGTTCTGAACTGTCATCTCATTTCACGTCCCATCTTGTTTTCTATGATCGCCCTCTTCCATACACCTCTCTAAACGTCCCTCTGTTTCCGTCTGTGGAAAGGTAAGAAAGGTGGTTAGAAGCCATTGGGTTTCCCTCGTGTGTTTATGCTCCATGTAATGCTGTCATTTCCTGTTATTCACACTCATCTTCAGCCTCATTTCTAATAATAGAAGAGGTGTGAGCGTATATTGAAGTCTGACATTTATTTGTGTAAACTAAGACAATCATACACATAAATTCACATTTGATTGGCCATATTTTCCTTTACACCTACTTTCTATGTGCGTGCGTATGTGCGTGAAGGAACGCCTGTGGTAGGAATATTCCCTCTGACACAGACGAATATTTATTCTCAAGCAAATGGAGTTGCATGAAAACATGGCAATTAAAGACTGGAAAGCTCTTCCCCAAGTCTAAGGATGACAGAGCGGAGAGCAACATGACGTTAACTGGGTTGTTATATGACTGTAAATGAAACATTATCTTCAATCCAGCATAAATAAGGAGAAGGGGCCTTACATTTCCATTTCATGATTTCCAGTCATTTATGTCAACATAAAAATCTAATTGCTGATACTTCATTGTGAAAGTGAACTTTCCTTGGCCTCTTTAGAGTGGTTTCCATAGCAGCAAACACTTAAAACAAACCCAAGCAGTGCTTCACAAGAAAAACAAACCAATGTGGTGACAAATTGATGACAAAAAGCATTTCAACGAAACCTTTAGTGAATTATTCATTGCACGTATTGAATCGATGGGTTTGTGTTGAATAGTGTTGGAACAAACCCACACTGTGTACTGTGATGGTACTCACCAATGAAGAAGGTGTCTGGAGCTTTATCACCGTTGAGCAGAGACACAGTTTCTGGGTCAAAACGCAGCCACAGCCCCACTGCTAGGACAAATGATCCCATCAACTGAAGGGACATAAGACAGAAGGACATAAGACAATGAGATTTACTGCTTGTGTATTCCTGAAAAGAAATACCAGACAAATGAAGCAAAGCGAAAGTTCAGTCAGGGATATGTCTTCCTGCACGTACGCAACTCCTGCTATCGCATGGCTTCACCTGCTCATCCCCTTTCCGTCCAATCGCAACCTGACACACTCGCCTTGAGCCAATCTGTCAAAAGTTTAAAATGTTCTGTCTCTGTTATTCAGCTGTCAGTTTTGCAAGTGAAGCACCTCCCCACCTGCACCGTCATGAGCTAAGACCTTCATCCAGAAGCCCATGATGAGCCCCTTTTCCAATGGTCAAAACATGGAATGGATTCAATCATCATTCACTCCTGGGTCAAGTGACTGTGCAGTAGATAGAATTGTAAGACAGAGAGGTGAGAGAGTGCCTCAGTTTTCAGTGCTTTCATAACGTCGAACAAAAGTTGAGCTCCTCTATGGGAAAGGAGTCAATGGTCGTTTTGTTTTAAAAAATCCAGGTATACCCTCATTTTGGTGTTAAAGAGGTAATAAATACAACTCTGTGCTCCATGTCTCCATATCAGATCTATTTCTGTTACAATCTTTTTTCATCTCATTAGTTTCTCTTTAGGTCTCTCCTGGTAGAAATAAATGGAGCGCACCTTGGGAGATAGTCCAGGCAGCCGACTCCAGCTGCACTGCTCCAATCATGTGATGTGTCTCATTCTCCACAATCCTCTATCAGCTTTCCATCACTCCCTTTGCTTGCCCCCCCGCTACTATTGCTTGGTTGATTCAGCCCCTCCACCACCCCAGCATCCACCTGTAGGCTCAGACAGGGAGGTTATAAATGTTTTGCTTATCACTCCCATTATATCTTTGTAATCACATCTGGGAGAGAGATGAAGTCAGAGCCGATAGACGTCAAACGCTTGTTTGTTCTACTGCAAAAAACCTTTCAAACGTGTGTTGAAACCAAAAACAAGTTGTATGTAGTCACTCACAGTTGAGAGTTTAGAGAATTCAGGCTTTAACTGAAACAAGCTCCTCGTCCTGTCTTCCCATTCTGATTAATGTTAGGCAATTATAAAATTGTCAAGTGGTGTAGAAGTAAGTTGGCTGAAACAGTTTTCACAGTGAAACATGTTTCTCATATTATTTATTTCCTTGACCTAACGTGACATCATTGCTGTATATTGGTTTCAGGATCCATCACAACAGTTTTCATCTAAAAAGGCACAAGAGTGTAAGTGCATGTTTTTCAGGCCGCCAGAGTACTTCAGCTCTTCCTAAACATGATGTTTCCACATAACTACTCAAATGGTCTGTGGAGTTTCCACTCCAGCCCTTCAACCTCAGGCCAGATGAGAGATGTATAATTTCATTAAGAGACAGTTAAGCTGAAAAACGTCATATTTGGTTTTAAACAATAGGTCGACAGAGTGGGTGGATAATTAAAGTGTCCTGGGGCAATAGTCCCCAGCAAAACACAACTTATGTAACCGCGAAACACTGTTTAGTTGGCTGTGGCTCCTCAGGAGGGAGAAAATGACCCGCTTGGCTGTGGGCAGCAGTGTGGCACCTTGAGCTTTAACGGCCTCTCCTGTTGTGGAAATGTGGTTTATGTTGCTCATATTTTCCTTCATCTAAACCACCATCACCATACGTCGAGCAAAATCCTACTCCCTGCAGTGCTGCTGCTTTTTAAGGCTGTATGACGACAGCAAAAAGAAAACTATTAGTCTCTCCAGTGATCAGACAACCTTGAAGTAAACACTTCTTCTTTCAGAGATGTGAGCCGCTCTCGAGGGCAGAGACTGTGGTGGGCGCTGCAGCGACGGATCAATGATGAGAGGTTTTAATGATCACTCAGTCCGTGCCCCCGTGAGGATAATCCAGTCTGAAAACCTCTTTGAGCGGAGCTTCACAACAGATAGTGTGTATTGGTGCGTATGAGAAGTAAAATGATTTGTCTAAATGGAGAGTATTTAGCAGTGCTTGTCACATGGGCTCTCTGTGTCCTAGATCTCCGAGTTTAGACAGACCTCTGTGTTTGACTGTTTGTGTCCTTGAGTGAATTGAAGTGGGGGAAAAAAAAAACCTGCTGCCAAGTTCAGGCAAAGACAAACGGTTCTATGTCTGTGTCTTAATTTTACCCTGTGACCTGTTGTTCATCCAATTCACTCTGTCCTTTCCTGGCTCTGCCTCTTTTTACGAATCTTCTGTATCTCATCCTCGCAATTTACACTCCTCTCCTCCTCCACTCCAGCTCCACCGGCTACAGTACTTAATGGTTTTGGTCTGAAATAAAACAACAGACTGTATATAAAGATGGATGAGGCATAGCCACTTCTTCCCACTATCCAGAAATGAAGTGCCATAGTGAGCATTTAGAGTCTGCAGGGAAGCGATCGAGGAATGGAGCCGCGGTCCCGTCGATACAAGCTCTCGACCAAACGCGAGTCAGTCTCAGCTGATTCACCCCATTTTTATAGCATCAAATAACTAATTAGAACCTTGTCAGAAACATGAAAACTTGAACATACATCAGTGCGATAAGAACTATACCTAAAAGGACAGAAACGGTGTTGGAGAAAAATTATTTCCTGTGTACTTTTTAGCTTGGTCCATGTCCCATCCATTAACATAGAGGAGGCTGGCGATTGAGATGCTTTGGCTTTGCCTCACGTCGTCCATCTTCACATACAGTCAATGAGTAAAAACAGTAGCTCAGTTATAAAACATTGGAGTGGGACAGGTGTTGGGGCACTGGCTTCCACCCAGACTGAGGTTTTACTGTGATGTGTGGTGATGACAGCTGAGCTCTTTTCAGGATTAGCATGTACAAAATGAATCACTACAGTGAAGCCTACGGATCTGTAGACTTACTGAACCATGCTGGATTAGTCCAGGTAGGGGGTCTGACTGGATCTACTTAACACTGGTATTTGCCAGGACACTTGATGGTGCGATGGCGTTGGCGGAGGTGTGAGGTGAGGGCTGCTGTACCAGCTGAATCGACAGTTGGAGAAGAGCCGGGTCACGCCGAGCTGGGCTGTAGAATGTGGTGGGGCAGCATGGAGGAGCAGGTGGTGGTTTCGCAGTTGAATAGAGCTTAGAGCTCCGCCAAACCTCATTACTATTATGGCTAAATTTAAAAGCCTTTTCAAAACCAGATGCATAGATGGATCTTTCTTCAGAACGGGGGCGGTGGGGGGGCTACATCCTTCGCTGCATCAGTGGCTGACACACTAAATGGATTCCAGGCACTCCCGAGCCTCTCCCAGAGGTCCCATTAACCCCGTCACTGCTGGCATACCCCCCCTGCTTTACCCCCCCACCACTTGTCTGCCATCATTACCCAGGCTGACACCAGACACACCCCTCCCTCCCACCTCCCTGCTTGCCTCTCTACCTCCCAAATCTACGACCCCCCGCCCACCCCTTATTTATCTCCATGTACTCCACCTCACCTCGTCTCCTCCCCCCCACCCCCTACCCCCTCCCTCCCAACCTCACCCAAAGGACAAAGACCCAGTGTCTCCCTGTGGCTGTGTGCTTTGGCTCACAATAGGGGGGTAAAACGATAGACACAATGAAAAGGAGAATGAATGGAGGGAAGGGAGAGAGGAATAAGTTGTTAGAGGAGCCATCACCTTTTTTTTAATTTGCCAGTAGAAACAGACCACAGGAGTTTGTTGACGAGAGACAAAGATAAAGCTTTAACCTGTGTTTGTACGTCCTCTCTTCAGATACTTTGTGTTTGCACGTATGTGCCTCAGCTTTATTTGAGGTTCTTTTATGGTGTTGGGCCTACTTTTTTTAACAGAGCAGTTAAATAGTCTTTTTGTGAGGGGAATTTCCATGAGAACAGAGGCTGAGTTGACACACAGTGGTCAGAGACAGTCTGTGGCATAATATCCACTTTCTAGCTTAGAACTTATTTTCAGGAAACAAAATCAAGTCTAAGTGTAAATTAAAGCAAAGGCAGAGTATGAAACCAAAACAGTGGTAAACAACATCTTTAAACCCGGCGCTAATTGGTGAGTGGTTCGAGTCAGACGAAAATAGTTCTCTGTCTGGCCTGTGTTTGTGAAAACAGATGTAAGCGCACATTAAAAAAATGATGGGCAGAGGGAAAGTGCAAATATGATAGAAGAAGATAATTATGGGTGGAGTGAATCCCATTGTACTCCTCCAGGGCAAGGGTGGGGGAGCGCAGAGGCACACATCATCCTCCACAACACACACATGCATGTTTCTAGGCATGAACATTTAGCTTCTCTGTCAATGCCAGTTTTTAACCTCAGCTCCAGAAACCCTCAAAATGTCCTTTTAATTTCAACAAATAAAAGAGCAGAGCTAAAAAGTCAGTCAGTTTTGAATTCTGAAAATATAAAGTTAATTTCTTGCTTTTAAAATTATTAATATTTTTATTTCAGCGGTTTGTTGCAGAGAGTAAAGTCAGTCGCACCTGTTATGGTCTTTAAATATTAATTTTAACTACAACCTATTGTAGCAACATAAAACAAGCAACTGCATTAATAAAACATAACAAGTGATCTCCTGCCTGTTCCAATCTAACTCTGTAAGATCAGTTACACTATAGACCCTGTACTGTACTGCATATCATTTGTATGTATTAATTTATAACCAGTATTGTTGGATCTGTCATCTATCCAGACAGAACAATCTGATTGGCCCTGCACTAGACCCGACGTCACAATATATATATATATTCAATATAAATAATATACAATATATGTTGTTATGTAAATATTACGTAAAATAGTTTAAACACAAGCTTATTTTTTCAAATCTCAGTTTTATGTTTTAGTTTACTGCATTATTTGATCTCGTGAGAATCTTTGCACATTTTCACTTTGTGGATCTTGGAGTACTCCTTTAGTTTAACCGATCTCAATATCACCATATGCTAATGTGCAAATACAGTTTTACATTGTCCTGCAATCATCCTGAACCACTGCACTTTACTTTTTCTATCCAAACAATCTGTTTCTGACTTGTCTGCTGCTGTAACAAGGGAATTTCCCTGGTGTGAGTTTTATCTCATCTTAGTTTTGAATGATATCACAGTTCATTTAGCACTATAAAATATGTGGTAATTAAGTTTAAATTTCAAAGTTATCTTATAATATTTATTGAATACATTTTAAACAGATTAAGATAAAAGAAGCATTAAATATGTTTTGTGTGTTTGTCTGAGTCAGCAGGATAATGCAAAAAACTGGCAGTATGGGTTAGGAACCCAGGAATGTTTTTTTTCAGTTTTGCGAGATCAGACAATTTTGAATAATTTCTCCGATAATAATCCTGGCATGTTTAGGGGACTGATATGTTGAGTGTGTGCAATTTGGTGCAGATCCCTACTGAATTTAAATGTGGTGTCGCAAAGGGACTGTTGGACCTTGACGTGGCAATTTAGGTAAAAAAGTTAAGATAATATTAATTTAGTTTATTTTAAACAATACAAATTAAGATTAAGATAACTTTGACATGTCAAATAGCTTTAATAAAACAAAGTGTGGGTTCCCCTGAGATGAGCCTCCCAGGTCCTGTGCCACACATCGACCGCTTGCCCGTTTGGTTGTTGACTAAAACCTTTGCTCTTGTGCAGAAAACAATCATTAACTCTGATGTGGCCTTTGCCAAATCAAGATTTTTGCAGGTAAGTGACAGCATTGTTTTTGTGTGGGCGGACAAATATCAAATAAATTAACTAACCAAATCAATCAGTAATCCAACAGGATTCCAAACCGTGTGCTATCAGTTGTTTTTCATCAGGAGGAAGAACACTGTGGGGAAAATGTGTGGGAAAGACACTTTTCAATGCACCTTTCACACACAGGCTGCTATTTAAGTGGTGTTTGCCCTTCACTGTTTACCCTTCAGATTACATTTTTGACCAAATAGGGCAGTTAGTGAACCATATCTCTCACAAACGGATGCCAGGCAGGCCTGCGAGGTACTGCTGTTCTGTTGAGAGCTGTTGTAGTTGCAGCCATCAGTGTAATATATACAAAACTGAGGCCTGTGTTACATTAATGACAGTTGAGTTAATGGAGTCCTGCAGGAATCTCCCTGCACCACGAAGCTGATGTCAGAGGTTTTTAAACAAAGAGTCACTTTGCATGTGTTGATTGATAAACTTGTTCATGTGTGTGTCAGACGAGGAAGGTTAAAGTGTGTGACTCCCTTCATCACTAAAAACAAGTTCATTCTTGTGTTTTTATGTCTGTAACAGCTCCCACCATCCTGTCCACAGGAAGCATCAGTCTCCGCTCTGCTGTCCATAAGGGGATTTGAAGGGAAACATAGCCCCTCCTCCACCCGCTTTCATCACACACACACATTGACATAATGCATTCTCTAGCTGCTTCTCCTAACCTCAACCATCACAACTAAATGCCTAACCCTAATCTTCACACTAACCTAAACCAAATTCTAACCCTAAAAACCAAGTCTTTACCCTCAAACATTTCTTTGAACTTGTGAGGACCAGCCAAAATGTCCTCTCAATGATGGTATTGAACCAAAATTGTCCCTCATAACTATAGAAAGACATCCGCACACACACACTGCTCATCATCTCTCACCCAGAGGGGATGGTGAGGCAGTGACACACACAGCCCACATCCACACTTTATCCCACTATCCTCACACTGATCTATTTTCTATCTGTATCTGGGTCAACTTCATGCCAACTGTCCCTCTTTTGCCATGTGAATGCGCACGCACACGAATATCCCTCTCAATCTCCCTATGACCCTCTTCTTTCATAGTTGTTGTTTTCTTCTGTCCAAGCACTAACTCTTCTCCTCTCCACTCATCTTCCTCTGTGGTTTTTCCACATATATGGAGATTTTGGCGACATCCTGGTTGCAGGGGCCACTGTAAACAACTCAGAGCGACCACTTGGGCCGCCATGTTTAGGGTCTCTGCTGCTCAGCCAGGGCAGCAGACTGAAGTTATGCTATTGTCCCTCTGTGACAATGGATCCATTCACAATGCACTCAGCGCCTGATCCACTCCACAGATGCTTGTTGGAAAATTCTCTCTCTCTCTCTCACACACACACACACAAACACATACACACAAAAAGAAATTTCCCCTGGAAGGAGTGTGAACAGTGGCAGACGAGTGTGTGCTTGCACATGCACACACAAATGATATCCATGGGGAGGCCAACTTGGAAATATTGTGCGTTCATTCATTGCCTGAAGTATGAATGGACCTTGACAAGGATGTCCAGGTTCATGTGCAAAGCATGTGTGCAGGACACACACACAGCCACCCCCACACACACACCTTTCACATGCACCTGACAGTTTGCCCTAAGTGACTCTCTGGAGTAGGAGGGAGCAGTCGGGGGCTGTGATGCTTCGCTGTGGCTGTAACTAATGCACATCAATCAGCTCTGAGCTGTTTATTAATGGATCGATGTGGCGCAGCACATGAGCCAATGTGCTGAGTCTGTTTTCCATGCTGTCCCTCAGTCTCTCTCTCTGTCTTTTCATTCAGTCTTCCTTTCAAAAACACGCTTCCCCGGGAAAAAAGGGGCGGGATTTTCCTCTGTGGAAAATCTGATTTGAGCCCGGTGAGCCAAAAACTATAACCGCTCCGACTGTCACCCTTTCAGCGCCACGCAGGGTCGTAAACCCACACGACTGCATAAACGAAAAAACCCAGACAGGAGGAGGAAAGAGGAAACTGTGATGAATCAAATAGTCACTGAAATAACACGTTGGAGCGAGGAGTCTGCGCTGCTGCACTTGCTCCGTGCGCCATTTACGCACAACTCGCGTCCCATCCGTACACCGCCGTTAAACGTGCACTTACCCAGAATATGAAGTTGAAGACGAACAAAAGGTATTTCACACATTTCATCCCTCCTTCCACTTTCCCCATGTCGGCAGAGATTTGTCTTTATCCGCGCGAAAGGCTCTGAATGTTGAGTATTGGCTCCACACGACGTGACAATAACGGAGCCCGGTCACAGCATCAAGAAGCAGTGTCACGACAGGCTCTCTCTCTCTCTCTTTCTCCTTCTCTCTCTCTCTTTCACACACACAGACACACGCGGGCGCTCGTGCACGCGCACAAAACACCACAGGATCCGCTTAGACTCTTTCCAGACCGCCCCGTTTCAATAATGCAGAGGGGGCCTGAAGGGGGGAGCGAGACCACACGATGAGAAGTACACAACCACATTTGTAACCTCGTGTCACACACACACACACACACACACACACACACACACACACACACACACTAATATACTGCGATATCATTTCACCGGTCTGTTCTTTAAATGTCCACGTGTCTCTATTTGTTGGTTATTAAGATAATTAAACCTCTTGAGACCCACCATCTTGTTTTCGAGGGGGTCCCAACATGTATCACAATCACTACATAACAAAGAGAAATCTAACTTATGTCAGCCATTACTACAACCTTTAAACAGAGTGTGAATGGATCACCAGATACAACCAGATTTATTACAGTGACAGCTTCATTAATAAGAAGAGACTGATTATCTGTTGATTACGATGAATACATGGCATCAGTTAGTTTTACTACAGTATAAAACAAGCTTTTTCACCGGTTTATCGTAAGATTACAATATATTTGGCATGACTACCATACATTTTGTCATAGGCTGTGAACTAAAGGAAACCGTCCTATTTGAAAACTCTGAATATTTGGTCATTGAAGCATCTCACACTGCTCAGAGCCTCTGTGGAGAGATTAAATGTTTTGGATCTGATGAAATACTTCTTTTGTTTTTTAATCGCTGTATTAGATAACAGCTATTTTCTCAATTTCCTTTTACACGACATCAAGATGCCGAGGTATTTCTTAACTGCACAATGCACTGGCACAACGTTTTACAAACCTTTCCTTTTCACTAAAAACCAGATGTCAGTGCAGCAAAACGTTTCAAGAAAGACAGTTAAAAAAAATAACCAGAATATCTCATTTCTATTTGCTCCACATAGCACGATACATTTAGAATTATTGACCTCTTTTAGGAGCAAAACACATGAAAATCACTTTGACCCAATCTGGGTTGTTGATATTATCTATTTATGCCTCTTTGCTGGTGGCCATTACGCCTTCTAGCTCTCATTAACATGATATCTCAAAAACAACTTGAGGGATTCATCCATGCATCCATTTATTCCCCCATCACTCCATCCATCCATTATTGATAGGCCTACTGCTTATGTCACGTGCCAGTCCCAGCTGGCATTTCTTCACATTTTGGACAAACATTCTCTTGATGTTGGATGTTATGAGCTTTCACAAAAACGTTATTGGCCATAAGTAATAATAAAAAACTCATATCAAGTGATGCCACAATTTAACACAAATCTTCAACATAATAAAATGATGACAACAACCATGAGGCAGCAACTGTACTTTCACACTTTTGCTGTATTGGTTGCATATTGAAACAAATGGGATCAATTTGAACCCAGTGATTAACTAACTTCTGTTTCCTTAAATTATTCCTTAGCAAAGCACCAGCTACTTTGAACCAGATACAAACCTAATCTACTGTTTATGAAATGGAAAGAATAAGCCCCTGCGCTGGATTCCCGCCCTCAGTTTCACCAGTGACTCGGAGCACGGCGCTCAGCAGCAACACCATGTTCAACATAAATATTTTCCTCACAACCATGGAGAGCGGCTGGAGCAGCCAAATGTGCAGTTAATTTTATCACTGGGAAATTAGGCACTGTTGGTAATTGTCCTTATAGAGGAACAGAGTGGTCTGCCAAGCTCAGCACCAGAGGGAGGAGAAGTCAGACAGGAATGAATTGATGAAGAGAGAGGGAGAGAAGGGCCTTGAACTGATAATAATATGTGAAGAATCAATAACATGTAACTGTTTTCAACCATTTACACCTTTCTGTCTTTGAGCCGAAACAAAAACTCTCACAGGAGCAGGGTTCGTGCTGTGTGAGACTCAATAGAGGGGAAATGTGGAGCGCAGAGAGAAAACAGAGAGGTTTGTCGTTGGAAGATAACCAGAACAATTCCAAAAGAGGAAACGCTGATAAGACTGGGACGAGACGGCCACGTCCCTGCTGGCTGCTTGTTGTTGGCTCAGTTGCTATGTGGCTCCAAACATGTGAACAAGAAAAATGTGTGCCAGTCATAACCTCCAACGAAAATAGATAACAAATAGCTGCAGCATCACTTTACAGCTCAACACGATATTCAATGGATCCATTCTTCTTTCTTTTGACAGATAGGTATTGTGTGTGTGAGCCATATTTAAAGAGAGTGTGTTGAGGGTTTCAGGTCGTCATTGCTGACCTTCCAACTGTGATGTTAAGAATTTGATCAGAGCTTTTCTTTTTCTCTCTTAAATGGGTGGGGTCAGTCATAGCTGTTGTTTCTATTTGGGTCAGCGCCTGGATCTTTGCCCCTCGGGCCTCTGAGGTCATTATTGATCAAAGTTATTTCTCCCTGTGAGTTTAAGCCTTAATTTGGAAAGTAGACTGAAACTTAGTATGATTATTAGGTTATTTTAGATTTAAAAAATTAAATATGATCATAACAATTTCATTATTGCAGCAACATATTGAGCCTGACTTTAGCAGTGACAGAGACTTCTATCTGTGGCAGGATAACACCATCTACTGGTCAAGCTGCAGACATTGCCCTTGTGGTCATTTGTTATCAATTTCTCATAGTTCATACATTTGGATCTGAGCAGTACAGATGCATGATGACCACTGAGAAGTTGTTATTGGCTGATATTTGCTCACTTTATCTGATAATTAATTTTGAAAAGCGTACGTGATGAGAGAAATTACAAGAAAATCATGCACATTTCATTCCTTGTTTCGTCAAAAGACTGTTCAGAGTTTGCAGAAATCTTGTTCATCGTTCTCTCTCTCTATGTGTTCACAGCTACTGCTGCAAAATGGAAAGAAAACAGGACGTGGTTAACACATCACACATCTGTGGGTTTGATCTGACAGCCGAGCTGTGATGAGGTTTCCTGGCAACACATCCTGAGCTGAAAAAGCATCTGTGGCTTCAGTAAGGTGAGGAACAGTGCAGAACTCAACTTTCAGAGAGAAGACAAAGATGTGACAATGGAGGGTGGGGTCTGTGCTGAGGCAGTCCTCTTTGCTGGCTATAGTTTTCTACTTGACCACAAGAGGGCAGCAAATACTCAAAAGAGATTCTTACTGGAAAAGATGAAATATGACAAATTTACTATCGACTCAGTAACTCAACTGAAATGATAGTAGCTGTAAGGTGGGTCATGCATTATAAGCTGTGGACATTCAGAGGCCTGTACCAAAATATTTTTAGTTATATTTATTTTTTGTTTGCTTCTGTGTTTGTTTGTCCGTTAGTTAGCATCATTAGGGTTAGGAGGGAACCATTACCATTCCGAATCAGGGGGGCAGACCCAGATATTTTGTTTTACTTTGTATCTTTTTTTGTGTGGGCATTTTTACCAATTGTCCAGGAAATAATTAATTAATCTAAATGAAAACGTCAGATATAATAAGGGAACGTATATCTAAGAGTGTGTCCAATTCGGTACTGCTTTTGAATATCAGGGGATGTCTGAGTTTCATTCAAGTATTTCTATTTACGGTGCATATCCAAAAAACTGTTTTTTATATTTGACCAAAGTATCCCAAAAAGGAATCAGGGAGAGCCACAGATCATTTTCTCTATCCTCTTCACAGTGTCATCACAAACCTTTTGCATTTTGACCGTTCAGCTTGATTACTCCAGCAGTAACTAGCATCACTGAGTTGAGAAACATAACAAATGCATTTGCTTCCATGGAGGGAAAACTGAGGTCACGATGGTTTTCACTGTGACCACCTCTCAGCCCAACTGAACAACCACCAGCAGCACAACTCTAAATAAGGGAGTAATATCACTTTGGAGAATAGTGTTGAGGAGAGTTTCAGATCCAAATTGCAAGCAGCACTGAAGCTGCTCCAGTGGCTAGTGGTGGTTCAACACCTCACTGATACTGTTTTTTAACATTCTGCATGTGCACATTATCTCCTCACACAGACCCACACTCTGTTCACACAGCTGTTTTCCAAGGTGAGAGGAATTTCGCTGCACTGTTATTAACACCACAGCCTTTCCATCTTCCTCTGTGTGTATAAAACACAGAGCTGGACTCAGTGTGAACAACATTCCTTCAGAGCCTCGACCAACTGTGGACATAAAAGTATGAAAGGGATGTTCAGTCTGTCTCTGCTGCGTTCCTCTGAAGTCAATCCTGCTCGGCCCATGGCTGTTGTCCCGTACTGGAACCAGAATGTCACCAAGTAGAGTGCAAACCTCTGTCAAGGCGCAGCAGTCCCATTTGGAAAGCACATTAAAACCAGTTGAACCTGGATTTTCTCATTATTTCCTGGGAAATTGATGAAAATGACCAAAATCATCGATATCTAGGAATGTTGAAGAAAGACTCCTGGAACCATCCCTTAAACAGGATCCACCCACATGGGTTCTTTCTTGGCCTAGATCCTACCCTTCCTTTAAGTTTCATAGTTAATTTTCCATTAACACATAAACTTATTCACCTGAAGTGTCTAAAGAAGAGGTATCGCAGTCGTTCCTTCCTGCAGCAGTTAAAACCATCCCTGCTAGAACTACACGCACCCACTATGCACTTTAACTCTGGTTTAACTCTCTTAACTGTGCAATATTCTTTCTGTCTGTGCAATACAATGGCTCATGTGCAATCCATTCACTGTGCATATTCTCACACTGCACATATTGTTTCTTGGTTTTCCACTGTATATACTATTTTTTATTCCATTCACATTTTTCTATATTTTTCAAATATAAAAAAGTATTATTATCCTTACATTTAAATATTGCATGTTACTTTTTATTACTTACTGATGCTTTTTTTTTTAACTCTTGCTGCTATAATGCAAATTTCCCCATCGTGGGACTAATAAAGGATTATCTTATTTTATCTTAATCACAAGCAAACAAATAAACCAACCAATATACACCTATGGACAGCATGTAGTATTGAGCAGTCACTGAAGAATGTTGGTACTTCTTATAACAGGTAATCCTCCAAAAGAAAAGAAAAGATTACACAACAGTTCAAAAAAACAAAGTAATGTGTTGTGGAATTTCATTTTTTTCATATCCAACAAAACATTTCAATACCTCCTGGATTCATTTTGTGATCCTTTTCTTATTGAAGCAGTGATACCGAACCACAACCGTAAAGCTGCAGGTCCTTAAGCCAAAATAATAACTGAAAGATGCTAAAAAGTGAGCTAGAGTTGAGGGGAGCCACGCAATTTATGATAATTCTCTCCAGGTCCGTTACTATGTCTTAACTGTTTTCATATTTCACGTTATAAAAGATATTGATTCAAGTTTTCAAAGCCAAACTGTGAAAGTCGACTCTTTCTAACAGTGACACAACAAACCAGGCAAGTACTGAGGTGTTTAATAAATAACAGCATGAACAACACAACAACAACAATAACAACAACATTAAAAGCTTGAATTCATTTTGTATATATACACATACCGTAAATATTTTCATATTTGACTGTATAAACCATAAATATGACATGCAGTCCTCATAACTTAAAACAACCAGGACGTCTCAGACTGAGGTAGGGTCAGGGACCAAGAGATTTGATGCGTGAAGCTGTTTGTGTGTGTGTGTGTGTGTGTTTGGAGGTGGGAAAGAGGATTACAGTATTGGCAATAAATCTGCAGTGGCTGTTAAGGAGAAGTGTGTGTGTTTGGTTCATAGTTCAGTGGTCAGGAGTCGTCCTCCCCAGTCAGTGCCCAAGGCGTCCCGCCCAAGACTTCCGACTGAGAACACACACACATGCAGCGTTGATGCGGATGAAACGCCAGGCTGTCCGTTCCTTGAAGGTGGTCAGGGCGCTTACGAATATGTGTGTGTTGGTGCAGTAGGAGTTCCAGTGGCGACTGTCGATGCCAAGACAGCCAGAGGTGCCCGATTTGGTGCCCTGCTTGCCACTCCGTCCCCCCGGCCTTCCCCCGTTTGCATTCCCGGAGCCTCTGTGCGTGGGGTATCGGCAGGTGGTCTCATAGAAGAACTGTTTCTTCACCACATTGTTGATTGTAACGTTGGGCAGCACTGTCACCTCGTTCCCAGCTATGTCTGTGGCTCGTGTCAGGTTGCCCACCCAGGTGTTTATGCTGTCACATACTGAGTACTCCCCTCGGTGCATGGTGTGCGACCCTGCTCTGCGCCTCACCCTAATCCCCCTCACCCCTTCAATGTCATAGCCCTCACTCTCCAGGGCGTCGTGGGATGGCGGCACCTCACTGAAGACCACGCGGGGCGAGGAGCGGTAGCGTCTCTTGGAGAAGAGCTTGGGGTCCACAACTGGGATGGAGGGGTCAGGAGGGGAATTCGACATAGATTGCATGACGACAGGGCTCCTGTCCTGGGTGCGAGAAGCGGCCCGATGGTGCTTCTTGGTCCTGTGGTGGCTGGTCCTATGATGCTCCTGTGAAGAGTGGTTTTCAGAAAGGTGGTCCCCCGCTGCGCTCTGTTGCTGTCCTGCTCTTTGATTGGCTGCCGTCTGCTGTCCTGCTTTGTGGTTGGCAGGCCCGGCACTCCGGGCCAATCCACCTCCCATGTTCAGTACAGCCTGGACGCCGATCAGGAGGAGCAGGACCAGTGGTGACGACCTCATGGGCACACGTCCTGAGGAGAATACAGGAAAAGGTCAGATATGTCATTCTAGTTTCTAAACAAGCTTATATCTCTAGTCAGTGGGAAAAAAAATATTGGAGATTTTGAGAATAAGGTCATAATATTACAAGAACTATGGGGAGAATATCAGGAGATCAGCAATCGCCTGCATTAAAAATGAGAAATGTGATTGTTCTGTGTCTATTGTGAAGAAAGAACTGGGCCTCTTGCCCATTTTGTTGTTTGCTGGTTATTTCCTAAAACTAGTTTGTTTCATATTTACTTGAAATATTACTTATTTTTTAAATTAAATTCTTTATTCAGATGATTTATTTTTCCTCATTAAATTT